TGAGGATGGGAAGGCTTCATAAGTGTAGTGAAGTGAAGAGAAGGTCCTGATGAAATGTGAGTGCATCAGTTCATGACGTATGTAATTCATTACTGTTACTGTCTTATGTCTAGTTGGTATTAATTTTTAAGTTATGTGCTTTAGGTTATATGGTTTTGTAATATTATGAGTTGTTTTATTTTGAGTGTGGTGTGTTGTTTTGTTGTGTCTTATTGTTTTTGTTGTCTTATGTTTTTTGTGTCTTATTGTTTTGATCTGGCTCATTGGTTTGTTGTATCTCATTGTTCTGTTGTGTCTTATTGTTTTTGTTGTGTCTTACTGTTTTGTTCTGTCTCATTGTTTTGTTGTGTCTCATTGTTCTGTTGTGTCTTATTGTTTTATTGTGTCTTATTATTTTGTGTTTTATTATAGGACCACTGCCACCGGGTAAAACCCATTTGCAGTAAAAAATAAATAATAATAATAATAATCCTCCCAATATCAAAATCAACATTCAGCCCCACATCTTTTTGCATAAAGCAAAACCTCTGTTAACCAAGCCTCAATTATCCGATTCCCGCATTCTTCTTATTGCGCCATCTCCGAACGAAGGTTGGCGATCCACATGGCAAACATTGCCCCCGAGACTGCCGCTCGAAAAATGTCTATTGAGGTGCATCCGAACCATCTTCTTAGGTCTTTCATCCAGGAGTTTTGGGGTCTACCGATCAATCTTTTTCCTTGGATTTTGCCCTCGATGATCAGTCTTCAGATCTCATGATATGGCCCAAATACCGGACCTTTCTTTCCTTAACGGCAAGCAGTAGTTCCTTTTGCTTAATCATGAGATTGAGAGCTTCGATATTAGAGACTTTTTGCACCCAGAGTATTCGTAGAATACATCGATATAAATACATTTCGAATGCTTCGATTCTTTTCTCCATGGGAGAATCAAGAGTCCAGCTCTCGCATCCACAGAGAAGTGTAGAGAACACATAACATCTCAGCATTCGAATCCTCAGTTCTAGACTTAGTTCGAATCTAACGAAAAACCTCCTCATGTCACCGAAGGTTTTTCTGGTTTGTTCGATTCTTGATCTTATTTCTTTTTTGTTGTCACAGTTCTGGTTCACTATGGTGCCCAGATATTTAAGGGAAGTCACTTGTTCGACAATGTTGCCATTGTTTCTTAGAGTTATATTTCTCGGTAATTTTGAGAATACCATTGCTTTGGTGTTGGATGTGTTCATATATAAACCAAACCTTTCACTGTATTGCACAATGCTGTCAACCATTTGCTGTAACTCAGCAGGACTGCTTGCTATGATGACCGAGTCGTCTGCATATCCTAAGTTATTAATTGTCTTTCCATTCACCTTGATTCCACTTGACTTTTCATTGAGTGCCTCTCTAAATATTGCTTCTGAATAGATGTTGAACAGAAGCGGTGACAGAACACAGCCTTGGTGAAAACCTTTTTTGATATTAATAGCTTCCGATGTTCTTGCGTTTACCCTGACTTCAGCTGATTGATTCCAATAAAGATTGGCGATAATATTTAAATCCCTTCTGTCTAAGCCTGCGGCCTTTAAGATCTTAATCATTTTTTCATGTATATCACAGTCGAAAGCTTTACGATAATCGATAAAGCATGCATAGTGTAACCGTCCCACTCCTTTCTGCTGTTGGAGTTGCCCGGTTCGGTTCCAGTCTTGTCGATCTCTGTCGTATGTGATGTAGTAATTCGGGATTTCTGCTCATGTAGGCATGGAAATTTTCTCAGGGAATATTACATGGAGGGGTATAAGCTGAATGCCAGCGAGGAAGGTTTCGGTAATGGTTTTGAGATTGAAGTTCGTAGTTTTGCAAGAACAATTTATTTCTTTTGCAATTAACATTCACTGGCCGAATCGAGCTACAAAACAATTCAGGATGTTGCTTCCTCTGAATTCCAGAAAAGAGTCTCCTCGAAGAAAACTTTCCTGTCTTTTAGTCACAGGACTTCCCCCCTTAACTTTCACAAAAAATGATCTATTTGGGCAGTAATGATGCGATGCTCGCATTGGTCAGCTCAGCCCTAGCTCACGTGGACCATTCAAAAACCCTTTAGCCAGCGGGTGCCCCTGCAAGAATTTTGGCGGTCACACGGTGCCATAATTCTTGCCTTTACAGTCATTGCTTGTGTAACTTTCTTTTCTTTTCTTTTAAGTGTGAGTGAGCCGTCTGCACTGAATGCAGAGCACCTACCAATAAACTGACCCCTGGCCTGAAAAGGACGCACTTGCCTAACAAGTGAAACGCGTAAATCTTTATTACTTGTTTCCAAATTATATTTATTTGCGCCTCACCGGGACTCGAACCCAGAACGCGCGGTCATAATAGATGTCGATATTCATGTCTCGACATCGCTGTGTTAAAATGTTCAGGGAAAAAATTGCATCTCGTGTTCCTACCCCATTACGAAAGATGAATTGTCCTCACATTTTCTATAAATTCTTGTATGAATTATTCTAAGGAATACTTTTAACACATGAGACATAAGGCTTATCATCCTATAATCATCGCAATGCGAGGAGTTGGTTTTCTTCGGTAATGTGACAAAAGTTGGTTTTAGCCAATCAGATGGAATATTTCCATTACTATATATTTTGTTGAAAAGCGATGTAAGCAGATTCAAACCTATAACTTCCTGTTCCGCTATCACTTTGAGTACTTCCGCATATATTTTGTCGGGACCGGCCGCCTTTCCGTTCTTCTGTAATTTTATTGCGTGCACAACTTCTTCTTTGGTGATGTCAGGACCTAATTCGTTCACAACTTCTATATCTTCTAACTATGGTAAAGCTGGTCTATCATCATGATAGAGCATTTCCACGTATTGCTTTCACCTTTTAAGTTTGTCTTCTGTCCCGTTTATTATTTCATTATCAGCTTTCATTAGGATTGCTGTTTGATATTTACGTTTTTTATTTGCCAATTCTTTGACATTTTTGTGTAGGTTGAAAGTATTATATTTCTCTTGTAGTAATTCTATTACCTCACATTTTCCTATTACCCACCGTTCTTTGGAAGCTCTACATTCTCTTCGTATTTTTTCTATTGAGCTCTCTGTACTTTTCTGGATTAGATGTTTTGTACTTTCTCCTCTCAGTCATTAAATCCAGAATTTCAACCAGATCGGTTGCGATTGGGTTCCACCGGCGAGAGTGTTTAAAGCGATGTCCACAAGGAAAATCTGTATTGAGTTTCTAATTATTTGTTCATATACATGACCACGTTCCCCTTTCATCGCTCATCCGACTTATCGGCTTATCCGACCCGTGATTCCCCCATATAGTCCAGTTACACGAGGTTTCACTGGATTAACACACAGTTAACACAACGTCGTTTCGCCAAGGTTAATGCCAGAATTAAAAATTCTACACTTCTCATCTCACTGCCTTCTTCACTTACGTACACCGTGCCCTTGTTTCAATCTAAAACCTTATCACAAGGACGAGCGGGTATTGCCTGGGAACCTTCATAGCCGAAAACTTTCTATTTTGCCACGGAGCGTCTCTTATCGTTCCCTCTCCACATGTCTGCTCTCAGTCTCGTTCATTCGGGCTTCAAAGGGCTAAGGTAAAAACTGGAGGCCAAATACTGTGGTGTGCAAATGCTTGAGTATCCAGTTCTTGCTGAAGTGTTTCATTGTGTCAGAGTTCGATTCTGAGTCGGCTCTTACCCTCGCTGTCGCAGGTTACACTTCTGCGCCGACCTTGAGACTACCGCTCGCCAGTTCGTTCTGTGCCACTTCGTGCAAGTGTCTCAGCAGAGCAAAGAACTGCTGGAACTGCCTCTAGAGGACCTGCAAGCGATAATCGAGGCCGACGAACTGGTCGTGGAGGACGAGAAATTTGTGTGGAAGTGCATTCTCCGGTGGATCAACCACGACCCGAACAACAGGAAAGGTCACATCGCGGGCCTTTTGAAGGGCGTCAGACTGGGACTACTGGACACAAAAATTTTCAAAAAGGTAAGTATGCCCCTGAAATCATGGATGTTTATGGAAAGTGAAGCCCGCATTTTCAGTTCCATATTCACACGTGTTCGTAAATAATTAATGCAAATGCTGAGCCTTTTTCTTCGACACGTGTAAGCCCGTTTGTCTGTCTGTCCGTCCGCAGTTCCAGCTCGAGAACGTCTGAACGGATGTTCATTAGATTTAATAATGATGAGCTTTAACAGAATCTCTTGATATATTCCAATTCTGGTTAAAATCTTACAATAACAACGTGAAAATTACACAATTCTTTTGAATGCCTTATCTCGCGCAAAATTTCCTGCGTAAGTAATCCTCAGATTGCCTTAGTTGCCATGGTTACAGTAACGACCTGTGCAATGCCGCTGGTAACACGCTCGCATATGTGTGTGTATGTGCAAAAAAATATTCGATTCGTCCTTTTATGCAGATATGTGATTGGAGTTAATAATCGTCTTTATTCATCGTCTGTAAGTTTGACAGTCCGTCGGCTCTACAATCCTTTATTGCAGTCTCAGCCTTTATTAAGATCGATTACGCGTTTCAGTTCAACTACAGCATTCCACATACAAACGTCCATTCAGCTTGAATAGGAAATTCCTCACCAGATAAATCACGTCTTTTGGCGCAGCGTTCTACTTAACCAAAGATCCTACTGCCATAAGAAGCGTATCTTAGCTGCTACAACAATTTCACACATCTCAGACGATATATATATATATATATATAGTCAACCCGAGAACGTGTAGCATGATAATCTTCAGCTGACTGACCACATAGGGACAACAGATATCGGAAAGGTGCAGCAAGAAGGCTTCGTTCTACCTCCGAGAGTAAATTACCCTAGGGGCTTCAAACTCATAGACATCTTTAACATTCTAATATTTTAACCGTCATCTCACGAAGCAGCAATACAACTTATGATATTGTTTCTTCCATACCAGCATGTGCTTTTACCCGAGAGAAAAAATGTTTCTACTCTAGATCAAATGATTGATTTCAGCCACTCACCTCTTACGAATACGTGTGAAACAATCTCACGGATCCATGAATACGTTAACTGCTTCAAATGTATTTACAACTTATCATTCGTATCTACTAGTTTCGAACACTTAAAGAGAACGACCTGATAATGACCAATTAAGGTCGAAACGTGCAATGGATCTTAATAGACATCGAGCCCATAATCACACGCTGTTGTTTTGACTGGCCATCCACCCAACCATCAACATGTAGCAAGTTGCCTCCCTTGAAACTCGAAGAAACTAATTGTCATAATTTTCTTTAGATGCTACGTAATTTTGACGATTAATTAAAGTTATCGAATCAAAAAGAATGTGATCGCAACGTTCATCTCGCACGGGTGAGACGAGAAATAAGTTATATTTTTGAATGTAACTCGAAATGCAATTAACTTTGATTTCACTTCTCTCCACAACCTGTACATTTCTTACGACCGTCGTTACATAAACCAAAAAACATATTTTCCTGTATATACCACAGTCTATTTCGGTGAGTTCCCAACCAAATTATGTGTGACTTTCTTGTCTCCTCTGCAACGGAACATGGCATCCCTTCATAAAAAAGTCCACATTGAACTGTTTAACAGGTGTCAAAGCACCCGTACGTGACGAAAAACGAGGAGTGCAGACCCGTGATCTCGGAGACGCTCACATTCCTGCACGACGTGAAAAGGTTGACGAAGGAAGACAAGGACTTCGTGACACCAAGGATTGCCCGCCCGCGAATTCGACAGGACCTTCTGTTTGCTATTGGTGGTTTTCGCGGCGGAAGTCCGACAGATGTGATCGAAGCGTATGACGCACGAGAAGACCGGTGGAGTGTGGTGAGTTGCACAAAATTCTACTCTTACCACGCCTTGTTAAATGAAAAACTACTTTTCCTCTGTTTTGCTTGTTTTTAATAAGTAATTGTTGTATTTAAGCTTAATCACAAGGACCTCTTAACCTCTTTATTTCGTGTCCGTTTATTTCCATTGCAGTGAACCCTTTTTTTATTTTTTTTAATTTTTAGTTTAGTTGCGTCATCCATCCTTTTCTCGGACTGGGATCTGTTCATATACGTTCTTGGCAGATGATCCCGAAGTGGTTTGCCATTGCCTTCTTCTGTGTGTGAATGGGATGCCACGGAGAAACCGGGGAAGCCCCCGGAGGAAAACTCCGTGTTGCCTAGACCACGGCCTTGCCCAACACAAGTTATAAATTCGGGCACCGCCGGGAATCGAACCCGAGACCCCAGGATTACGAGGCCAGCGTTCTAACCGCTAGACCATCATAACTTAATTTTAATTTTAAATGTTGTTGTTAAAATTAAAATTAAAATTTAGCGCTTTTCATCGTTATTACGATGTTACATCGTAATAACGATGAAAATTAAAATTAAGTTTGTGTATAGACTGAAATAATAAATAATATATACCTTTTTTAAGTTAAGCTCCAAAGACATAAATTAAAAAAGAATAAATACATAAATTACACAGGTGCTGAGACTCGTGTAAGATCTAATAGGAATCGACGAAGGATATGAAGTTTGCCTTAAATACCGTTTACAATGAGCGTCCTTCATCAACTGTCATGGCAACCTGTCTGCTGATTTTAGACATGAAACGAAGTCATCGTTGATCGTCAGTGGATTTCAACGTAATAAATGAAGCACTGATCAGTGTCGATGTTGGCCAACTGGGTGGTAGCGCCTCGTGAATTAGTAGGCTTACACACTGTTTGGGGTGCGGTGGGGATCATACTGCCTCCAGCTTAGCGTCGACGAAACCCAAAACACCAACATCTGTCTTTACCATCGTACGAACCTGAAATGTCAGCTGTTGATCATAAATTAATTCTGCATTTGCTGTCGTACTTGACGAGAGCTTCTCTTCGGGTCTTCCTGTTTCCTTCGCCTTTCATAATTCCACGATTGCTAGAAGTTAATTTCTCACGGTGTTTGTCGAGTGCCACCCACCACGGTGTAACAATTTCGGTCCACTGTTGGGGGTTGTACCTCTGCTCCGGTGGTTGGTCGCTTGGACTCTAATGTAGGGACTTCACATCCGTAGACCAAATGACCCAAAGAAACATAAAGCCATAATCTGTCGTTCCTGCAGGTGGAGGGGGTCGACTCGATCGATCCGCGATCCTTCCATTGCACGGCAGTAGTCGGTTTCGACATTTACATCATCGGTGGTTGCGACGACGGCTTCAAACATTTAGACTCATGCCGCTGCTTCAACGCTGTTACGAAGACATGCCGAGAGGTGTCGAATATGCATGAACGCAGGTAAGGTGCAGCTTGGTAACTAAGGAACTCCTTGGAGCAGAGTCCTTCATAAAAAGCTGATGGTCGCTCCCTTAGTCAAGATAGAAATGTGGGCAGGGGCTGTAAAATTCTACCACTCACATACAGGAGTATCGTGCAAAGTGTGAATAGCTTGAGGACTTTTGCGACAATGTTGGTTTTAAGAATACGATTTGCTTGTTAATTCATTTGAATTATGATTTATCAATGACGAGCGAACAATTGCTTTCTGCGAGAGGAAATGCATCTGAATGAGTAATAAATGAGCATAGCAGAGCGTGAACTTTTTCTCGTTTCAGATCCGATTTAATGGTGGCAGTTCTGCGAGGCGCAGTGTACGCTATGGGTGGTAAAGATTATCGTTGGATTAAGAGAACGGCTGAAAGATACGACTGCAAGACGAACCAGTGGTCTTTGATCGCTCCCATGAACAGAAGACGACGCGGTGCAAGTGCGGCTGTGCTGAATGGTACGTAAATGCTGTGAAACAGAAATGTGTGAATTAGAGCAGAAGTCGAGGCGTCTGTCTGTCTGTACGCGTATAAGAACGCAAGAACGGTAAAGGAATCGGGGGATTTGAGGTTCTCACGGTGGCTAGTACGAAGATGGCTGTCGTTTGGCTTCTGCCGACGTCTCAGACGAACTTTATGACTTCATCATCAAGGCATTCCTCTTCGCTCTTAAACTTAGTTTCCCTCACTCCACTGTCCTATATTCTTTTATTATCTCTTTCTTTTATCCGTGCTACGTACTACGTTATTTCTCAGACTGCAAAGGCTTGAATTTCTGAGTGCGTGATGGTTTCATCTGCTCTTATAAGCTGTCGCTGTACATCGTCTTCTGCCTTTGTAGTGTACTCTAGAAGTGAGTACAAACAACAATAAAACTATCAAACTGGCTCTCATATAATACAGATGTAATATGTTTTTGAGACAGTTAATAATCTCATGTAAATAGCACATTATATTATAAATGTAGAGCACCGCTTGGCAGCTCGTGCCATACATCTCTGGTACCAAATTTAATAAAATTCGTTTCACAGAAGATGTAACTTACCATTATTTCCATTTTGCATTAATTTAAGAAATTTATGCTGTTTATATTAAATTTTATCAGTTAAACTCGTTTCCATTGACACGCTGATTGTCTGCATTCGAAACAAAGAAATATATGAACAGAGACAGCCTTGTCTTTGCAGTTTCTGTGACACGAAGGGGGACATTAATAGATTTACAAATTTAAGTACGGATTGTCCCATGTTTGTGCTCTGCACGGACCAGTTTAATATCTCTCCCTATACCAAATGTGTGTACAGTTCGTGTCATATAGGTAATTTGTTTTTACAGACAAAATATACGTCGCTGGTGGATATTATGATTACAATTATCTAAAATCTGTGGAAGTTTATGACCCGGACACCGACCGATGGACGTTCGTTGCACCAATGCTTTCTCAACGTAAGCATTTTGCTTGCGTCGAGATCCACGGCTGTCTGTACGCCCTAGGTGAGAACTCTGGACATTCTGAGTGATGCTCCTCTATACTTCTTACAGAACTTCCTATTGTGAAATGTTTTCTTGGTTAGCGTTGAGTGACTGAGATTTTATCAACAACAATTTTCTCCTGTCATTACAGAGCTAATTTGTCAGTATTTTTAACCCAAATACGTGGTTTCAATTACATTCTCCACAAAGAACACTTAACTAACTAACTAACTAACTAACTAACAACCTAACAACGCATAATCTCTTGTGGTATCTCATTTGCCCCATTTGTCACACACTTCCAGTTTTAAAGGTAGATATTTTGTTCTTGTAGCAAGGAAATTTCAGTTTGCCGTGCTGTTATCCCCAAAAAGCCGGTGGTTTAAAGCAGTCCCTTCGCAGACTTTGCTTTCCGTCACTTGTTTGTGTAACGCCCTTTTGAACAGTGCATCTTATGTTGTTGTTGAACGCTATTTTCTCACGCAGTTTCATAAAGCAGAAAGCAGATGTCGGGCGCAATTTCCTAATGCTACAAGTACGAAAATAATATTGCAGCTATTTCATTCTTAATTTCGTTCCTGGTACTAATATTTACACTGCAAAATTAAATCAGTTTTCTTCGTTCTATTTCATTCGTTCGTTCCGATTCCGGAATTACAAATTTTAAGATCGTAAAGTCCGTTGGGTAAGACGGTCGGAGTGTGAAGCATGGAAGTTACGATAAATACAAACATCTAGAAAGTTATAATTGGTAATGTTGAAGATAAGATACCACTTGTGAGACATATTCTTAAAATGGAGGATATTATTAAGATGTTTTTACGGAACTAGAGTATGTGGGAAGGGTTCAACTACCGACTTTTGTGAATAAGGTAATGAATCTTGTGGTTCCATAAAGGCCAAACATTTCGTGGCCGTAATAAATATCAAGGAGGCCTCGTTGAATGGGGTTAGAATAAGTTTCGTTTGGCAGCTTTTTTTATATACTGTGACCTGTTACGGATTGTGTGTGTGTGTGCAGGCGGACACAACCGGACATCATCCGAGCTCAGTACCGAAAAGTATGACCCTGCAGAAGACACGTGGACCGAGATCCCTGACATGAACTTCTATTCATATAAACTCGACGCAGAAGTGATCGACGACACGATCTTTGTCTTCGGTGGACAATTTAAAGAGGACGTCCGCTTCCCCCATAGCGCATGTTACAATGACGAGGAAAATCGAAGGTTTGTTTCTTTGTTTATTTGTTTGATTGTTCAGGACTGTATAATTACAAAATGTTACTTTGGAAAAGCTCTAGGAAGTGAATCATTTCCGGTCAAAATAACCGGGATCTTGCGTCTGCTGCGTCATGTAGTGACGTAGAAACTGACCGACGTTTCAGAGGTTCTTACTACATACGTAGGGTTTTGAATACAACGCGCGAAAAATGGGTGAGAGGAAGGGGGTAGGATGAAAGCAGGCAGGGCGATGTTGCGGTCAAGCTGAATCGTTAAAGCAGGGGAAAATGACTAGGTAATGCTAATCAGACGTAAACTGTAAATGAATTAATAAGAAGCTCTTCGAGTAAGTTTCTTTGATCAGTGGCACTCTCTTGGGCAGGAAGTTTCTGGCTTTCAGCACATCAGCATCGCCATAATCTTCGGCTTTCATCAAAGTGTTAGGCCCGGTTCAGGTTTAACGACGCCTATCCATCGCATGTTCCCATTTCTGATGGAAGTTTATTTAAAAATGGCTGTCTCTTGGCGTGTTTGACCTTGCAGCCTCGCGTCATCTGTTGGCTGAGTGAGTAAGCAGGTCCAGAAATATGCCAGATGGCACAATTCTTCATACTTGTTTGTGCAAGAGCCAAAAATCCAACAGAAATTCATTCGATTTTGGTTTGTGTCTGTTTTACGTCTAGCAGAACCTCTCCAGAACTATTTTTGGTGGGACAACAATTTTTTGAAAATATATTGCTAGAAGAGGGAAATATTTTCATGGGCGCAATTCTCAAACAAAACACGCTTGTCTCTTAAAGAAAGTGTGTGATTAAACTTTTTATTCTGACCGAAGATAATGGCATAATGAATTGTACGAAACGTAGCTAGCGCAGAACATAATTCATTTGACAGCGATTTAAAATAGTCATAGCCTCTCCCTCCACTTTGATGTAATAAAATGTGTTGCGTTATAATAGCACGATGGCCTGGGTTCTATGTGCATGAGTGAAAGAAAGATCACGTGGGAAATGTTCTGAAATATGTTGTGGCAATCGTGCATTGAATTCCGATTGGGGGAATTTTTGTTACGTTTGTCTGGAAACAAATTATAAGCAACGACATTTCGGTGGAAGCCTGTGCCCTTACCCTAAAGCAGTTTACCATTCTACACAAAGACAGAGCCAGCCCATGAGACATTGATATTTTTAGGTCAACACATTTTACGACTCACAAAGATAATTCTTTTATACTTATTCTATACCGAAATCTCTGTTATTTTAGAACCCCAAAAGTAAAAGTATATATTTTTAAGAAAATGGATAATTTATTTACATAAATGCACTGACATTCAACTTACTTTTCTATTAATTTATATTATATAAATCATTTATGGTAGAAGACGCAATCCTTCGTGAGTTACATCATCTCATGTTGAGCTACAAATTTTCGGTAACTGTGTCCGCGAAATGTGTTAAAAATTTGTCTTGAGTGTAGATAATACTGATGGATGATGAAAAGAGTTTGTTTTCACTTTTAATATTTCAAATTGCAGGTAAAAGGTGACAAACATGATTGTTTGTAGATCCTATCTGTCGACTTGTGTCATCAAGAACCTACCTAATGCAAGCGATTACGTCTACAAAGACAGAGACAAATTAATGAAAGAGAAACGTAAAAAATTGTTGGATTGGGAATTTAACCATCCTTCCACACACAATAGTCCTTCTGCTGATGTAGCCCCGGGTTCAAACCCAGTAGCTAGGCCGGCGTTGGTGCGGTTACAACGTTCGTTACTTCGTTGCGCGAAAAGGGCTAAAGGTTTTCTCAGGATACCTTGATATAGGGTTAGTCGTCGGGCAAGGATCTCTGACTCTCAGGGAATATACGAGGAAGGCCTTACTTCGAGCTGCGCTCGCGGGAAGACAGCGAAGTACTAGTTGAGCTGGTGCAATTCTTGTTGTTGTTGTTGAAATCAGTCAATTTATTCACGAATTGAGACACACTGATGCAAAGATATAATTATGTTGATATTTAGGCAGTGCAATGAATCGGCTGTTTATATACTGAAACTTTGCGAACAGAACACGTCTGCAACACTTTAGAGAGCGCCGCAACAACACAAGCGCGCTATCACAGTAACTATCCTTAAATGTTCATTTGAATACGGCGATCCGATTTGTCGCCCAAAATTACCCCATAACACCGGAAACGCGCCGAAAAGCCATATTCGAATTTCATTGGTCCCATTCGCAGTCAGGCGACTGTTCTAGGGCAAACGTCATTCTAAATCTGGAAAGGCTTATATTTTACGAGTGCGAAAGCTTTGTGAATGTCACGCCGCCTGTAGGCGGAAGGTCTAGAAGAAAGACGTTCAAGCGACTGATTGTCGCTAGTCTCTTCCAATTTAATACATTAAACATTGCCAAAATTCATAAAATCAATCACATTTGGATGAAGTAAGGCGTATCAAATATCCTCTAATCAAACCTCTTTCGTTTATATAAACCAGATTAATATGCCAAAGGTTCAACCCGTATGAACTTGGACTGGCACAGAAAAATCAATAGTTTGCAGTTGATTACAACCACGACGAACACATTAATTTTAATTACTTTCCTTACGAAAATAATGTATAAAACTAGGAATTGATGTAGGAGCTACAAAAAAATAAAGAAAAATATTGTTTGCAGCATAGAAGGAAAAATTATTTCTCCTCGTTATTTTGTGCACAAGAAGTCCTATTAAAATTAATTATTTTACAGACGTTAATTTTATCTAAAATATTACCATCCATCACCAGCCTCCTCTACAATGGGTACCGGGGTCCTTTCCCGGGGATAAAGCCGGCCGGGGCGTAATGCTGACCACTCACCCCCATCTAGTGCCGAGATCAAGGAAGAGAGGAGCTATACCTCTACTCACCCCAAAACGCCTACATGGCGTATACTGGGACAAACTTTACTTTTTTTACCATTCATCAACACACAGCAGTTTCACTTTGCGTCTTGTATTAAATAAAACCACTTGTGACGACATGTTTCGAGTTACGAAATCATCATCATGGTATTAGGGGAAGATTAAATGTTTTGCTTCATGAACTTCATTTACAAAAACGTCATTAAGAAGGCAACACACCGAGAATTTTGTATTGATTTCTGATCTAAGTGTGATATTTTAAAAAATTGCAAAAGTACATTGGCTGAGTTGCCCCAGTAAAAGTAAAAAAGTAAAGTTTGTCCCGCTATGCGCCATGTAGGCGCTTGGGGTGAGAGGAGGTATAGCTCCTCCCTTCCTTGACCTCGGCACTAGATGGGGGTGAGTGGTCAGCATTACGCCCCGGCCGGCTTTACCCCCGGGAGAAAAAAATCCTCTGCCCCCGTCGGGGATCGAACCCCGGTCGTCCAGCCCGTAGCTAGTCACTATACTGACTGAGCTATCCCGGCTCATGAGTTGCCCCAGCATACCGGGTAATTGTGACATGTCCTTGGGGAAGTACCAACTATAATCGTCTAGCCATGAGGCCGAGCTCGGACATTGACCACCCATCAAGGATGAATCAATGTTTCCGTTTTCAATACATTCACACCCGCACGTGTCGCGAAGGATCAGCGGAACATAGACCTACATTTGTCATTGTCAGCTGTCCTTTCGAAAAATCCACATCCAAGAAATTCCAAAGTTCTTGTAACTGTATACTTTGACAGGCCATTGCAGTATTTCACCCCTAGGAGGTCGGACCCCTATTACTTGGGTTTATGCAAAAGTAGGCATAAGTGACCTAGCGTCACCACGCGATGTAAACTGTCACAGTTGGCCTCGGGTATTGAACTGACCGATCAGAGAAAGGTTATTTTGACTTAAATTTAATATATTCCATCAATCACAAAACTAAGCGGGAAGTCGAACCAATGATGTTACAAAATTTCAGATTTCGGAATGAGTGGGAGAAATTAATTTATTTGAGAGGCAGACTTCTTTTGAGAGGAGTCGTGAGTTGCAGTTGTAAGTTGTCAGTCAGCAGTCAGTCGTTAGTCGTTAGTCGTTAGTCAGTTGGCAGTTGTGATTTGTCAGTTATCAGTTGTTGCAAGTTGAAACGGTATCACGGACTCATCGGTGTACTACATTAACTTTGACCAATATCGTGCGGAAAATTTAATTTAGCGATCACCTGAAAATAAATACATAAAGCCATAGCTGAGGCGATCTTTAATTAAACCTCGTACACACGGGATAAGAGTCTCAACTTTAGAAGGTCCGCTTTTGAGGAGGTTCATTTACACTTGTGATTATTACCGGGCATTTAAATTAGCAAGATAGGTATGCACGATTATTGGAGCGAAATGCGAAAACTTGCTCGAGTCTGCGTTTTGACTACGAACTGTGGCAGTTAACGGGTTCGCCGTGATCTTGCGGCAACTTCTCCGACACATTCGTACTGCAGAGCAGTCTGAACAACTGCTGGCAGGCGTTACATTAAGATACAACAGCTGAACTTTCAAAATAAGTAAATCTTAATTTTCTTTTCAGTCTGTATTATTCTATTTACTTTCTGCTACTGTCTGGCGCCGTAGCCGCGTGGTATGAGGCATCATGCTTCAGACCGGTGATACGGAATGCGCGCTGGTTCGAGTCTCGGGGGAGAAGAAATTTTCTCATGAGCTTTCGACCAGTGTATGGGACTGGTGCCAACCCAGCATCGTGAGGAAATTGGGGAGCTACAATTAGTAGCGTAATCCGGTCAGGAAAGCTAGCAATGGCTGAGGGTTCGTCGTGCTGACCACACGTCACCCTATATGTGGTTGGATGATCATTCACCTCTGCTTAGGCATGTGAACGTGAGGCTAGCAGTCAAGATAGTCGGCTTTGGCTCTCTGGAGCTGTTACGCCATGGATTTAATTTTAATTTTAACTTTCTGCTACTTCCTTGTTTTAATTGTTACTTCTTTCTCTCTTCCTTTTTATTTTTTCTCGTATTTTATTTGTGCCCTTTCGGATCTTATTTTTTCGTTTATGTATTGATTTCCTTGTGTTCATTTACCTATCTTACCTTTTAGCCTTGAATTTACAAGTAATTATGCTGAACCCTGCGATTCGTGCAAGATGGTTATAAAACTCTCTTAATTTCTGTTATCATTCGCGACATCCTGCAGCTAACAAAACTAACCAGACGCCTTATCGCATCTCTGTCTAACTCGTTACACTGAAATTCATTTCCCACTCTGAGGGATCAGCAAATTTCTAAGCTGTTAGAGGACGCAATCGAAAAAAGTGACAATATTTAGAGAATAAGAGGCAACTGAAAGAATTGTAAAATGTCTTAACCTTTTCTTTATAAATCGCATTCTTCACCTAATATTATAAGGCAATTAAAATGTGTATGTGATGCACAGAATATGTAGCACGCATAGGAAATACGAGATAGTCATAAAATCTAAAGGAAAAATACCACTGGGAATAATCATGCATACATTGGAAGGTAATATTAAAAGCAGGAGCGCTGTATGTAAGTCTCCATTGTGACAGCATTTGGAATCAGAAAGAGAACAAATTATGATTTCCATCTCAGTCTCCTTTAAAGAGTTGGATGAGCCAGCCTCAGAAGAGAATCCATTGCCGTTGTTAGTAGCTTTGTAAATTCGTGTCTCTTGGCGTTCTTTGCGGGCCTCATACCACGAGACTGAGTCGTAAGACATTGTCCGGCATTATTTCTTGAGATTTCTTCGAGTAATTAATTGGTACTCCCCTGGATTGGTTCCCAGCGACTCGAAAGGCAAGTCCAGTAGCATTGTTGCTGCCTTCCAGCCTCTCGATACGCGCTATGAGGTGGTATTTCCCCAAATTCGATGTATGGTTATACCGCCATGACTCGGTTTGCTACAATTTAAAAATAAGGAGCCATTTAAGTCTGACAGGAAACAACATGAGATAATTAGGATTTCAGTCGCACATTCCTTCCTTGGAAAGAGAGACCAGCCAACATCAGAGTCAAATACATTACAATTGTCTACGCCAGGACTAGCAAAACACGCGGCCCGCCGAAACATTTTCTCTGGTCCAGGGGCGATAGGCTCAACAGCGCACATTACTTCGAAAAATCAAGTTTAAAATCAATCAAGTATAATAAAACCCGATATTGTTTTTAAAGAAGGATAAATTAAATTGCAATTTTATCTTCACACCTCTTTATTTATAAATTTATTTCATTCTTATAGAGAAAACATTTAATATTAGGTATTTTTACGTAAATACGTCTATACGGAAGGGTCATTCGGCAAAAACAACGTTACGAAAAAGCGTCAGGAAAATGTGTAAGATGCTTACCTAGGAAATATCAACAATTTGTAAATATGGATCGACAACAATGGTCAGCTTGCATGCATTGTTATGTCACCTAGGAAACGTCATCTGTTTACTCGGCATTGTTGTGTTAGATTACTGCCGTCAACAATCCGTTTTCGTAACAAGATGGATGACATTTCATTACATTACATTATATTTCATTACATTACAGAGACGTAAATATAATTTAAATAGAGAGACGCATTTACGTCAAATTCTCCGGAACCGTGGTTCCACTGTCAATTTTTTCTTACATTTAGGATGGAATGTGACCAAATTCGAGTAATTCTCTTTCTATTTTTTCAACTACCAATAATGTATAAATATGGACCGACAATGGTAATCTTTTACGTGAAAACCATTGTGTATAACAATGCAAGAAAATTCTAACCCACGCCAGCAACAATGTTGGCTGAGCATGCCTTAACGCTCTTTTCTCGTTACTTATGCATGCAGTATAATAGCCTGAATGAACCGTATTGCACTCTATTTATTTACTAACTGTTACGCCATCTGTTTACTCGGCATTGTTATGTTTCATTATTGCCGTCAACAATTTGTTTTCATTATTGCGGAAAGAGCTGAGCTGTGAATCGCTTGCAGGAGAAGTGCGTAATACACTAGATAGTTTTGTGCTGTTGAAAACCTTTTAGAATATCATAAGTACTTATCTTGTATAAGAATTATTAAGAAATCTGTGATACTGCCCTCCACACTCTCCATTTTATTTCTGATTCAGTTGATCATTGACGGTGGACATCGTGGTCTCTTATCACTGAACAAAGTTTAAGGTAAGGGATTCCTAATTTTATTATTATTATTATTATTATCATCATCATCATTATTTGCAATTGCATTTGTAATTGTCTGCGGTATCGTGAGTGTTGGTGTGTAATCGTTAAACACTCATATGCCAGCACTTCCATATGGAAGATGTCATTGAATCTAGAGGACTCTACTTCTGTAATGTTGGCTACCGGAGGAATTCTGCACACACCTTCGTCCTTAAGGGAGGATAGCAGCTGGTTGTATTTATGTCATGTTATTGGTAACGCCTGATTGTCTGATTTTATTTGTGCTGTCACGAATACTGAACAATTTGAGGTAGAATTGAGGTTGAAACGTTTTCTACAGCACGAGGTTTTTGTACTTCAAATACCTTCTGCATTTATGGTAAATATTTCAACTTCGACAGCAATACGAAGGAATCTCGTGAATTAATTTCGTTAACTCTTTTAATCCGAAGATGGTCTAAAAAAAGTTAAGAACTCCTAATAATCACTGCTTACAGTGCAACTCATAAATACAGAATGTAGCGTTAAAAGTTGCTAAAGCTGATGTTACATGCACGGACTACCACTCTGTTAGAAGTGTCGTGAAAACTAAGAAGCTTTCCTTGAGTTCAGTGCGTAACAGTAGCCATAGTCGCTTGTAGCTTTTCAGTTTTAAACGATAATAAACCAACTGGCAAGTATTAAAACTTCATATTAACTGCTGGCATTGGAGTAAAGGAACGTAAATTATGTTTCTGGAAATTAAAATCGTAGATCCTACTTTGATAAATAGTGTCGGAAAACTTTTTGATAGGTCCGAGACATGATATATTTAGACTAGACACATTTTAAATTTAATTTGGTAACGACTACTTCGATAAAGAAGAACACAGAAGTTTTACTTGACGCTAGTAGAAAGTTGGGGACGAGTGATGTTTTCCGAGCTTTTCCTCAGTTGTAAGGCAAATACAAGGGTATAATTCAAAAAGGAGGATGGCCCTCCAACCTCAAATCATTAAGGCCTTCAGCTGACGTGACCCCCACCCCAATTCGCACAGCGACTTCTGGGTTCAAATTCCAGACAACTCTCGAACCAAAATCCTTTTCATGAAGGACAAGTTGCCTAACGCGATACCTCTCATCAGCAGCAACAGACCGTCAATGTTTCCGCAGCGACAAAACCCTCGTCTTAGTTATAAGCCTCTGTCTACCATTTCCAGCAAAGCGTTCCTTACGCAGGAATGGTGTTTTCTAGCAAGGGACGATGTTTTGTGCTTGCGCAGGTCTCTGCCCTTAGTTAGGTTTTTGGTGCTGCTAGGTCCAGAGACAGGGTCTAGCTCTATGGATTGGGCCCAACAGAGTCAGTTTTTTACGTGGAGACGGAGAAAGACTCCAGTCTCCAAAACGCCATTTTATGGGTTTTTGGTCTTCTACTATGCATTAGGTCCAAAAAATAGTTTGCTTCAACGTCTTAACAGAGACTCGAACCAAGAATTGTATTCGGGTCTGTGACCTTAGATCCTGTAATTTCCTCTCCGAAAACAACGCATTTTGCCTTGGCGTCGCTCTCTTATAGCGGTTGCGTTCCTGTCAACAGAAACCATTCTTCTTGTAAGGATTCGAACCCAGTGCCTTTACTTCCGTAATCTCCTCTTCGAGGCAAAAACTCTGATCCTGTCTCGCTTAGTTTCGGATTTATAGGAACCGCCCTTAAGGAAATCAAACCCAGGACAATTTTCCCAGGGTTCAGACTCTGCGGTATTTACTAAGGGGGTATACGACAGTTTCTTACAAATTCATCTTCTGGGTCTCAGACAGTTTTCGGGCTTGTGACCTTAGTCAGTCAAATCATTTCCCAGGAACAAAAAAAAATTGCCTCGGCGCCATTCTTCCCTAGTCCTTGCTGTCCGAACAACATAAAACATCGTTCCCGGGATTCGACGGAAGGAAACATTTTCTATGGCCCAGCGCCCGGGCCCCTCAAAAATCATCTTTAAAGTTAATGAAGTATACTGAATCCGGGCGTTATTCGTAAATAAA